ACTGAGAACTGTTATGGCGGAAAGAAGTTTGGCTGTAAAACATTGAGCAAGGGAGACTCAAATGCAAAACAAAATCTGTTGCTGTTTTGACTATGCGGTATAAACTGAATTTAGAAAACTCATTTTCACCAAATTGGCTTATTGTGAAAGAACAAGGACCATCTGACCCACTGTATACCATTGCCATTATCATGAACGTTTCTATGAGGGTTCAAAATCTACGCAGCGTTGTCATGACAATCCCACTGTATCAACAGGAGCACGCTCAGCTGCACGAGCAATAATAGAGACAGCTGCCTGTGCTGCTTAAAAGGAAAGACTTTTTATTTCCCCTTGTGTCTAATTATTGCTATTGACTCATAATTTTGCCACAGGCTAATCACAGCCTCTATGGCAGACACAATGGCAGATTTATCATGTGTGCAGACCCTAACCTTAAAGTGACGCAAGCTGTATAGGAGAACACAGCCCAGGTTGCGTTCGTCAGACATAACTAAATGTTTTGTGCTTTTTAAAACCCTTACTACTGGCCATCCCAGGTCTGAGATCAAATTATACACCATACACAGCCACTACCAGTCACAACCCAAGCATTGCTTCATTTCATTAAGAGTGATGATGGCTCTAATGGACCTCACTGCTGTCTGATAAGGGCAGCTGTAGAACACTGAACTGAAGACGACAACAGGACAGAACTGCAGTTCTCATCCGGCTAAACCAGAGACACAAAATCTTAATGCTACAATGACTCATTCTGGGATAGTTTTATAACATAAGATGCGGGTATCCACCCTGTCCAATTCCTGTTTCTATAGAACTTATCTGAAAACACATTGAAGACATCTGCGTATAGTCAGAAGAGCCTGGTCTAGTCATTCAAATTCCTGTAAATCTAACCTCCACAGATATATCAAACCTGCAGTGATATACTGTACTGTACCAGATTTCATCTTATGCATGTACTGTACATCAGTGACCCCAAGCTAATATAAGTTTGACATTAAACCCTCGTGTTTAAATCCTACTGTAATGATCAGTAACGATTTACTAACCTCTATCTATAGACTAGTGAATCATACTTTCAAGCCAGTGCACTAACATAGCACCGACCTTATTTGATGTATTTGATGTATCATCCAGGTGGGTGCTGCACATTGATGGTAGTGGAGGGGATCCCCATTACCTGTAAAGCGCTTTGAGTGGAATGTCCAGAAAAGCGCTATATAAGTGTAAGCAATTATTATTATTATTATTATTATTATTATTATTATTATTATTATTATTATTGTAGGCAAAGGCCACAAAAGAACCAGTAGTGGTCGTTCAACAAATCATTTCAGCCTAGATTCCTTTCCAGGCTCCAGTAAGGACAGGTTACAAGTTCTGAGTCTTAGATCCTTACCACACAAGGGCCGTCAGTCTCATACCATTTCAGAACACAAAATTTTCATTTCAGTGACAGTAAATAATGTGTCAAATTGCTTATAACAGCAGAATTCCATTACAGATTTACAATTAAGTGACCATGAAAGAGCATAGCAGTTTCACATACAACATGAGGAACTGCAATATCTGCTGATGCTCATATGACATTCAAGAAGCTTTTTCTTTATGGAAGCATTGACATGCTCCTAAAACATGGTTGACATTTTGAAACAAAAAAATGCTTTGTTCACATTCCTGTCTGTTTCCTTTCCAAAACTGATCTTTTATCTGTAAGAATGTTAACAGCATTGTAAGAAAAATGCAATTAGTTGTGATTTATTTCAGAGCAGCCTGAGAAGTCAAATAGTTTCATGAGGTAATATTTTTATGTGAATTATACGTTTATATTGCCCAATATATCAAACTTTTTCTACCTTTAATAATTACTTTACACCAGCCAAGCATTTTAATACAATTGTAAAAACATTCAAAAGTATATTTTAACTATTCTATTACATTGAGAGACAGTCTTTGAAATGACAGATAATTGTTATCATATAATGACTTAAATTTTCTGATCGGTTAAAAATAAATAAAAAAGCCAAAAATAATAATTCTACCCTCTTCTTTAAGAGAAATGGAGGTGCTACTTAAATAAAATTACAGTAAGAAATAAAACAATATTCTTGGTTCACTTTGACATCATTAGGGCACACCATACATCATGCTGTCTAACAGGAAATTAGAAAAACGTCCTTTAAAAGATATTGTGTCAGATGCAGATTTATTACTCATTTGACTACTCTATTAATCCAAAGCAATATGTACTGCTGGAAATGAATAAAGTGTTCAGAAATGAAAGGTTTTAAATGATCTTTGTGTTTCTCTACAGTGCTAGTTCACTCACAACCTTGTCTTAAAAGATATAAACTGCAGTATACCCCTGAATTTCCCATTCCTAACAAATAATCCGTCAACTTGTTACAGAAAGCCACTTAACCTGATGAGAGCTGTGCACAGGAGCATATACAGTACTAGAAACATAAGATTCGAGGCTTGACTGAGAGCATATTACTGCTCTTACAGCTCACAAAGAAATGGACAATCCAATAATCAAACCCCAAACCCACATTCTCTGAGACAGCAGCACTGACAGAAGGAGTTGTATATAAATACTGTATTCCAATCTATGCAAATGAGGCCTTGGGTTCAGTTTTTCCCCTGTTTGCGTAGGTGTCCTCTGGGAGTCCAATTTACCTCCCATAGGCCGGAAGGTTAATTGTAGAGTGATAGCATGACCCTACAGCAGGGTCTCACAAGTAATCTAATTCAGGGGTCTCCATCCCTGGTTCTGGAGAGACCCTGCCTGTCCAGTCAATCATACATTGTAGGCCCCCCCGGAATAACCTGTTTTTTTTTTAAAGATTAGGAACATCTGCAAGGTATTGATCAATTAAGCAAGTAATTTGTTTGATTAAGGAACCTTTGGTCCTTCAGGCCTGGATCGTCTTGAGATGAAGGTTCCAGATCATCTCTAACAAATTACTTGTTCAATAGGCAGTGTGCTGGGGCAGTGGTTAGCATTGCTGCCTTGGAGTACAGGGGCCCTCACTTCAGTTCCAGACCTGGGCTAGGGTTAGCAATCTGCTTGGAGTTTGCATGTTCTCCTCACTTTTGTTTTGGTGCTGCATTTTCCTCCCACAGTAGGTTAATTGGCTTCTGTAAAATTGGCCCTGGTGTGAGTGTACTGTATGTGTTTGTGGCTGTGTGGGCCCTGCTGTTGATTGGTGTCCTGTCCTACATGTATGCCATATCATCTCTGGGATCAGCTCCAGGCCACTGCCACCCTGAATTGGATAAGCAGTTGTTGAAAGTGAAGTGAATCTCTCCAGGATTTCACTGGCCCTAGAAGCGAAAGCACGAGGAATTTCAATGGATGTGGAGATTTGTTAACAAGAGAGGGCGCCAGTGTTCATCTTTGAGCAGTGCTAGTCGGATAGCTTAAAGGCTTTCTTTACAATAAACTGAGCATCAAAAGTCTATCATCTATAATGTAAAGTCTTAAATCTCTCTATGTAAGTTTTTTAAAAAAATAAGTAGGCAGATTTCAGATGTTTTTACTGTCATTTTGATTAATTGATCACTTATGACTAACCTCAAAACACTCGAGTGACTTTGATTGTTGCATCAACTCTAAATCGCTTCCTAAATGAGGGAGGTGTTTGGGCACATGTGTTGAGGGGATGTAATCTGATGAAAAATACGAAAAAGAAAAAGACAGAAAAGGACTGATTTGCTCTGCTTTCTGAGAGAAAATCTTTGCTATTAGTATACCACTAGCACTGGATTCAAGTCTTCTTTTCAATTAATCAAAATCTTTAAATCAAATGTGGACCCCCCTGATGGACACCTCTGGACACACCACAATGGAGGTTAGCAAGTGAGATACAGACACATGGACCGATAAGCTAATCAATCAAATGATCAATATGGTTCAATTGTAGACCTGGGGTACTATCTGCATGGAGTTTGCGTGCTCACCTTTGCACGGGTTTCCTTCAGGTGCTCTGGTTTCCTCTCACAGTCCAAAGACATACATGTAGCTCTGGCCCTGGCCCTGTGATTGTGTATGTTTGTGTCTGTGTGTGCCCTTCCAGGGTGTACCACGTGTGGCGTCCTGTGGAGGGTGTACCAAGCCTTGTGACTGGTGCTTGTCGAGATTTCCTCGTAAGCCTAAATTGGATGAAGCAGTTAGAAGATAGATGGACATCTTTAAGAGATCACAGCGAAATTGTTGCAGGTGATTAACCAGGGAAACCCATAACAAATCGTGTGACCGCAATTAGCCAAAACTGTGCAAGTGAAATGAAGAAAATGTGTATTTGTCCAACTTTTTTACACTTTGGCATGTAAGTCGTATAGTACAGTTCTAAACTGCAAGCATAGCACGGGATTTCTCTTCATATGCTATCGCTGTTCTCTGCAGTATACTATCACCTGAAACTATCACAGTAACGCAATTAGTAGTAACTACTGTATACAGTACCTTTCACACTTAATGTAGAAGCCATGTCAGCTGGAAGCTTTAGTGATTTTCAAACATATTCCTTTGTCTTCTTAACGGTAGCGTGCAAACACCGATCGCAAATACACCAAATGCACTAGAATCCGTATAATGATGTTAAATAACATGATAAATGAAGTAGAAAAGAAAAAAATAAACGTGTTGCTTTCAGAATACATTAACTTTTAACTATAATATAATTTATTTTATGTTTCTAATGTCGCATTTGTTTTTTTCATTTAGTACAATTTAATTCTAAAATGTGGGTTGAATTTTATCTCACAACGCGTGCAATAGGTAGTCAAGAAGAGTCACAAACCATATCATTCAGTGCAGCCTTTTCAGCGTGTTTAATTAGTATGTGTCTTCAGTGAAACCATTCAAACTGATCACAAGAGGAAAGGTCATTCTGAGAATGCGAGCTTGTACTTCCGTTGACTTTCATAACCCTGCACAAAACTGGCAATCGATTACCGGCTCTCAGATCACAGATTTGGTCTCTGTAAGCAACAGGGGTCCCTGGTATCAATGGACCAAAGTGTAATTCCACAGTCACACATCTATCAGTTCTGACGTGGTCACCAACGTGACGAAAATATTAAAGCAGATTCGCTCTGGTGAATAATCTGTTGTATAAATACAGCCTGTGGGATGAAGAGGAGCTCTGTGCGTGCAGACCTCTCCAGGTAAACTACAGAAATAAAAACTCGTCACCGAGGCAGCTGTTACAGTCAGGTTTAGAAAGTTACTGAAAACCTGATACTTTCCAAACAGAAACATTGTTTCTCCTTTAACATTTTTCAAGCACAAGGCAAAATAGTGTCTAAAATGGAATTGCATAAGGCAGCTACAGAAATGAACGGGGTTTGCAACGGAAAGATTGTCACAGAGTTCAATTGCCGCAACGGGTTTAGCGAGCTAGCAATAGAGGCGAAGAAAGCAGCAGTGCAGTGCAAGCACGACAAGTCCCGCAAGAAATGTGAGGATGAGTCAAATCTGCAGGCGCTAGAGGATGCGTACACCACCATCCTCCAGGGTCTGGGGGAGAACACCGACCGCCAGGGTCTGCTGATGACGCCGCGCAGAGCGGCCAAAGCGATGCAGTTCCTTACCAAAGGGTACCACGAAACCATCTACGGTAAGTGGACGCGTGAGCTCTTGCATTAGGTACCAATTGCCAATGGGCTATTATCAAGCGTTGGTAGTCGTCTTGTGCGTTCATTAATAATGGGGTATTAGAGAAGAGTGAAAAGTGACGGGAGTGTATTATATACAATACAATATGGGCATTAGAAAATATAGTGAGTAACACTGTACTGTACATGTGGCTAGTGATTGTTCAGCCAGGCATATAAAGGAGAAGCCACGAACTTAACCTACTGGAAGACAGGAAAGCAACATACTGTATGTAGAAAAATTCATTGGGTTTTTCTTCCAATTTCCAGCATATTGAAGGGTATTGTGTGTGGTGCTTTATTAAGAGCTCGTTTTCTTCTTCAGTAGGTAACCTTAAATGACACTGCAAGGTTATACATCCCATCCCATGTTTTATAGGGTTAATATTTTAAACTTTAATCGTTTAATTTGACCTATACATACAGTATTCTGTTTTGTAAATGTTTTCAACTGAATTTTAGAAAAGATTATAGATTTAGACAGTGATATTGACAAAAGAACTTACAGTATTACTGTGGGCTGATGATAAGTGTGTTTCCCAAGCATTAAGTGTTGCAAAGATCGTCCTTGAACTCAAAAACGTGTCATTAAACTCCATTCCCAAGCTTGAACAAAGTGCAACAGATACTGTAGGATAAATCTGCACCTTGGTTAGCATTGCTGCCTTGCAGTGCGGATGTCCCGGGTTCAATTCAGGGAGTGCTATCGGAGTGGAGTTTATACAGTATGTGCTCCCTGTTTTGTCAGGTGCTCAAGTTTCCTCCCACAATCCAAAGCCTTCACAATAAGTTAATTGGCTTCAGGGAAAATGGGTCCCGGTGTGAGTGCGTGCACGTCTGTGTTTGTGTGTGCCTTGTGATGGACTGGTGTCCAGTCTAGGGTGTATACTGCCTTGCTCCTGTTACTTTCTCTGTTACTGGGATAGGCTCCCCAGACCCTGAATTGGATGAAGTGGTTAGTAGATGGAGGGATAGATAATGTAATAAACAACCAGTTTAGAAAAAACTGTTTTGAATTCTTAAAATTGTACATAAATCTATCACAGTAGGTCATAACATGCATAATGCATTATAATTATGACCTGAACCACTCCCACAATAAGTCTTATTATCAACAGATCATATATTCTGTTCTGTAAAGCAATTCATTCCCTTTGTATAGTATACAATAAAATTACATTTTATAATGCATGTAAAAAGATTATATCCTTTTTTTATAAAAGCCATGGCTGACCACATGCTGTAAGTCTGTCACAGTTGATTGAAACGCTGCATAACACATTACACATACATTCCACTCAATTAAAAATTTCAATAAAGCTCAATAATCTGCAATTTTACAGTTCTATAATTCTACACAAAAAACGTGTTTATTCAGTTTTTGACCTAGAGGCAATATATGTTAAAAAAATATCTGAGTGCTCTTATTTAACTTGCGTTTTGTGTAGCTTTGTAGTGCAAGTGGAACACTGACTGTGAAGATGAATTTCTAAAGCCAGAGGACAACCTGCTATTGCAAAAAAGACGTTTTTGTTTAAAGAGACCTAACATTTTCTGAATGAAAAGATTACAGTTTGTGAGGCTATTCGATGTTTAAGACTTGGAAAGTCACTGGCAAAAGATTAATGGGACCTTTCTCATGAAGGTTATGATACTACTGTATGTACTCAAGCCCATGTGAGGGAGTATAAGGGATAAAGAATTTGGCAAAATAATAAGATGAATTCTCAGGATTTCTACTTTTGCCTTGACAGCGTAGTAAATGTAAAAGAGCCTCTGTATATTGCAGACTCATTTCCTTCCGCAATTTGTACAATAACTGTTCTATATAAAATGTATTCAAAATGAGAACATTATGCTGTTTCCTGCTTCTTTATATTTTGTTGATGACTACAGTTTGCCCTAATAGAAATCTCTTAGATCTATTTTCACAGTGAATATAAGACTAGTAATTTGCCATACATTCCAGGTAAACTCAAACCTGCTTTAAGAAAAGAATAAGTTTCTCATAATCCAACAGCTGACTATTTGCCTGGTGGTATGAATTGGATGATTTGTGGAGGAATAATGATTACAAGAACAATATGTTGTGAACATGTGTTTCAACTGCAGCGAGGATTATTACCGATTAATAATGGTGGCGGAGGTCAGGACCATATTACATTAAAACCCTGGGCACATTCATGAATTAGGCTGTTCTTGGTTTCCCACAGGACTTTAAAAATCACATAACATTCACCTGATCCGACAGTATCAGAAACAAACTGTTCATTCATTCGTTTTGTCACAGCTATTAATCATAATTAAACTAGTGTCCCTTGTTTCAGAAATCCTGAATGATGCCATCTTTGATGAAGACCATGATGAAATGGTGATTGTGAAGGACATCGACATGTTTTCACTCTGTGAACATCATCTGGTGCCTTTCTTTGGCAGGGTATGTCTGGCACTGCACCTCAACTTTCACCACAGAGTGGGGCTTAGTTCTAAATCTCTCAAGATGTTTCAAGTTTTGCATTACAAATCCATTAACAATATTGAAAATTCTGCTGTGGCAAACACAGGGGCTAAATGGGCACACCTGAGAAACTCCCTAGGACTCCTGATCATGTACTGTAAATGATGCAAAAGCTCTGCTGGTGGACCTGCCTGCAAACATCTGTAGGCTGTAGTTCTACAGATCTTTGAGTACATCTGTTAGCTATACAAAAGAACACTATTTGTTTATTCAGGTTGCATAAAAATATTACAACTGCAGCTCATATCTGAAAACTCTGTTAATGAGTTCTGCTAGTGCTGAACAAACATGACCTGGGACAGAAGCACTGGCTTATCAAATTTGTTTGGATAGCCTTTTGTATGTATTCTTTAGTTCAGAATGAAATAAACCAGAAATCAGTGAAGATTGAGCAAGAGAATCCTTCACAGAAAGGGGTTATCAGTAGTTTGCATTTATAGCAACTAAACCAAGTATGAATTTACTGCTGGTATAAGATTCCAGCCACCATCACAAATTAGGCTTGCATTCTGCATCAAAAAAAGGTAAAGAGCCAAACCAAAGTTATACAGACTAATAAATTTAATGCAACACTTTTAATATTTACACACTTTGAAATCAGATGATAGCCATCACCTTCATTCAGTGCACATTCTGTGCTTTGATGACTGAAAATGGAAGATAGACCTAGAGAACAATATTGCAATTCATTTGAATTGTTTTCTGTAATCTAAACAAGTAATTTGCTAAAGGAAAAAAACTGGATTTAGTCCTTAAATCCATTAATCTAATTCTTAATTAACATTACGCACATTTACATAAACACATTGCAGCATTGAGAAATATGAATGGGAGCTAATCTCGGTGAGGTCTGTTGTCCTAGATCTGAGAAAACCTACAGGGGAACTCTTTAATGCCCACTCAGTTTACCATAGTCATTTGTTACGTTTGAACTGCAATATGTAATGCAGCATGATCAGAGACTATTAGAACTATGTATACAAATAATCAAGAACTTATTTTACACTTTTAGTAGTGAATCTGAGTGATAAGTGATCTTTTGAGGGTTTTTTACATTGCATATATGAAAAATATCAACCTCCAATGACAAATTCAAAATGTAATTAAAATATTAAAGTATAGCTAAGATCTGTATGTCTATGTATAACATTTTCCTCTTCCCTTATGTCATATCCCATTCAATTTTTAGGTTCACATAGGCTATCTGCCAAGCAAAAAAGTTGTCGGGCTGAGCAAGCTGGCAAGGTAAGAACAAACACTGAAAAGCACGGGGAACTGCTCCGCACAGCACAGAGCCCTGAGGGCGGCTACAGGTTCAGAAAGAACACAGCAATGTGATATTCAAAGGAAATTAATTGTAATTAGCACTATGTTAAAAGACCTGTTAATTTAGCAGGGCTCTTGATACATTCTTTAAGCATTTCCATTCACCAGCTATTGCTTTTGAGTCAGTCATGTATCCTGTAATGAAAACCTGTGCAAATTACATCTCTGTTTTCCTGCAAGCCTTACTTTAGATAAAACCAATCCACATAATACTACATATCAAATTATTAAACCTTTTTGTGCTTACAATTTATTTTTCTACAGTTTCTTAATATTTGTCGTAGAATGCCGTCAAACTCTAAGGTTTCCAATAGCATATTTTAAATTCATATATATATAATACAGATTTGTTAAAATATTCAGCCTTTCTCTTTTTTTTGTGCATATGGCAAGTGTTTGCTGAATAGTAAATAAAAAGCTTAGCATTGTATATAGTGCAATTGAATGGGTTTTTGAGTCCTGTTATCCTCTGTGTTTTGTCATGAGACAGAGACATGGATAATGTCTCTCTTGTCTGCAGGGTTGGCAAGAGTGTGTCTATACTGTATAAAAGACCAAGTTTAGTGTTGATAGTCTGTCTCCCAGTCAATCAGACTGTCCTATGAATGAACAGTTGATTTCACCCATGAGAATCGAAGACTGCAGTAGACCCATTAATTACGACTGGCTGCATTCTTCTGTTATTTCAAGCCGTTGACTTAGCAGCTAAGTAAACCCTACTGGGTATCATTTATTTCTGTATGGATGTACACAAGACTCAGCCTTGGGACAATAAAGAATGTCACATGTTCACATCAGGGAAAGAATCCCTGGGCTAGCAGGGACACCAGGGATTTTCCTAGCATTAGTGCTGTTCCATTCAGCCCTGAGTATGTTTTTGACCAAATCAATGGTAGTAAATGTCGTTTACAGTGATTATGTTAAGTCATATATCCCTTCGGAAGAATGTTTAGAATGTTGCTGAGTGAGCAGTAGGCGCTTTAACAATAACATGTGATAGTCATTTATTTTCAGAATTTGTCAGAATCACCCCAGGCATCTTTTAAAAATGATTCCATCAATGTTCAGAGTAGAATTGTACTCGCTCATCTCAGTTCTGCTGCTCTGGGAATGTAATTTGTAGAAATTGATAAAATAATTTTAAACCCTGGGGAAAACAGCCTTTCCATTCTTAGGGAACAGTGCATAGACACCAAACATGGATGCCACTTATAGAGACCACAGTCTCATGGACCTTAAAATAACTCTCTGTAAGTGGTGCTAGAATATAGTTGCAGACTTTCTGCCAACAGTGAATCTTCATTAAATGAATCGTTCAAACATTAGAACTATTTAAATTACAATGCACAAAATCACATACAGTATACAGTATAGTACAGTTTTACACAGATCCCAGATACCTGTTGTTTTTCTTTAATTATTATAGTAAAGGCAGTGCCTGAGTTATACAATTAAAAAATAACAGAAAGCTAGTCTGCAGCCGGAGGGTAAAAGTGCACCTTTATGATCTATAAGACCTTGGCTCTCATCCATTTGCTTAGTCTGGTCACACTGCTGGACAAAAAGAGCGCTGCCATTTTAGTGACACACAAGCAGAAACCTAAGGGGACAAAGAGCATTTCACCTTTTTCTTGTTCACTGGATTCACCGAATTGGCACTGATGGTCAGTAATTTATTACTGATTAAGTTCATGGGGTACAATGCCAATACTACCACCAGTAACATTATCTTACAGCAAGTTTAGAGCTGTTTTTTGTGTTATTTGAATGTCCTGTCCACTTTACATGGTTTTGAAATTGCATAACTGTATGCCTTTCTCCTTTTTTCAGGATTGTTGAAATCTACAGCCGAAGACTTCAAGGTATGTTTGGTCCAACATTAATGCAAATCAAGGGCAGCAGTTCTGTGTATCAAGTTGCATGTACAGATAAAGATGATTATCATTTGTTTTGCTCATGTACACAAACAAAAGGTCCATATACTGTACATATACAAAACAATATGTGACTTAATTGCAGACAATTCAAAATTAGTCAGACTCTTGGCAGATGTAATTTAATGTATATTAGTGTTACACGCAGATAACAAAAACATAAACCACAAATCTTAAGATTGTAAATGCTGTGAAGAAGATATTTATGTAAAAAACTTAGGCTTATGCTGACAGATCATTTCAATGTTCTAGACTGCGTGAAGAACCAATATAAAAAACAAACAGAATTTAAGGAGATCCAGATAAAGGCACAGAATTTAAATCAAAGAGTGTGTCATGAAATGGCTTGCCTGGATCCCAGGAGCAATTAGCTACTAAAAAACAATTGAGTTAGAAGCGCCAAATTGTCTCCTCTAGTTTTCCAACTGTTTTATGTTCCTCTAGTATATTGCTGTTCCTATCAGCAGGTACTGGTATGTTTTTATGGTGACCATGAGTGTTGCCTGCGGTGGTGATTGTTGTGTCAGTGTGTGGTTTGTGTGCGAGCAATGCTGACAGTGTTATTGCTTGGGGTCTCTGTGCAGTTCAGGAGCGCCTGACGAAGCAGATTGCTGTCGCCATTTCGGAGGCGCTGAAGCCTGCAGGGGTCGCTGTTGTCATCGAGGCCGCGTGAGTGTTTGCCTACAGCTCAGCTGGCGCTATCTCCTCATTGGCTCACACGCCCTTGAAATCGTTGAGCATCCAGAAGCCAGGCTGAGTTAAAGTTACAAAACAGCCGGTTCGCCATCGTGCCTGTTGGCACTAATGTTGGCACTAAAAAAACCCTAAATGAATAGGTCAAACCGTTTTTTGAAGACATAAAAATAGATAACATTTGGAGAGAAAATCAATTTGATAATTCATGCTTGAAATATTTTGCTTTGGCCTTTAACTTGTGGCTTACCATCCTGTGATCATCATGAGTGCATGGAAAATGTACAATAAACGTTTAGTTGCCTTAAGGCATAATTAAAAGGACACACTGCAATGAATTTTGGGGTTTAAAACTCTTTGCTGCAGGTGATTGCATTAGATGTGATTTGAGCACAGTTAGTATGGCTGGTTACTACCGACTCTGAGACTGCAAGCTGATATATCTTGTGCTGTTGTGTTCCAGGCACATGTGCATGGTGATGCGAGGTGTACAGAAGATGAATAGCCGCACTGTGACCAGCACCATGCTGGGGGTGTTCAGGGAGGACCCCAAGACCCGTGAGGAGTTCCTGTCCCTGATTAAAAGCTAATGAACCTCTGACCCAGACGGCCATCCCTCAAACACTGTCCACACAACACAGACTCATCCACTGGGCTCTCTCCGTCTCTCTGCAACAATACGCTTTTCCAAAAAGCTTTTCTATTTGTTAATGTCTGGTGAATAGGCAACACGTTGCTTTATGTTGTTAGTGCTCTCTGTGATCTCTTTAGTTATGGGAAACCCAACTTGAGTAGCTAAGAACTGGGTCAGCACATCTAAGGTTTTCTCAGCCCTGAGCATTACATGACCAGATCCTCTGATCTCTAGCAACTAGAGCTGCTCTACATATCAGTGCCATGCGGGTTTCCTGCCAATTAGCATAGGAGAAAAGGAGGCTGGCCCCAGTCAGGTTCATCATCCTCATCACTGGCTTAGTAGCATTCCAGCCTTTTCCAGATTTCTCTCATCAGTACAGCAACAACCTTCATTCGCAGAGGGGGGTCCTGACTGGATTAGTGGGTGATGTATCTCACCCAAATCTCCCAAGCACACTTCTGCCATCAGTACTTTTCAGAAAGACTCCATGTCATGTACTGTAAGCTGCCAGAGAGCTATTTCTCTCAGTGGGATCAGGGATGGTTTTCAACTAAAAATATGTATTTCTTTTATATATTGGAAATTATATTCCAGTACTGTAACTTTATTTGTTGTTCCACAATTGCCTCAACCTTGGTCAAAGACTATAAGAAAACATGTTAATGTTTTCAATCTCAGTACATAGCAGTAGATCCTCATTAGAATTACTCTTTGATTACCTCGTGTTGATTTTGTTAGGCAAACTCAAGACTGATTTAAATTAAAGCCTTTGAAACCACTCCCGAGCATTTATATCCCTTATATGAATTAAACTTAACATAGGCAGTATATTTAGTTTAGTGGTTCTTTACTAATTTTCTTTTGAGCAACAACAGTGAAAGAAAAAACATTCAATGTGAAACTAAGATACTGTATGTAGATGCTTTTATCCTATCGAAATCTGTGCCTTGACATCTTCTGTGCAATATCTATGACACCAGAAAACACATGTTGTACATAATATATAAATATTTGAGGAAAGAGATCAAATAAGATTTTTTATTGCACAAATCTAATATTTTGATACTTGTTTCATACCTAACAGAAACACTTCTTCAAATGTACTATGTAGAGAAGTTCAGGTAATTAAGATGATTTTCTACTCCTGAGAAACAAAACTGCTCCTGTTCCTCTGCGAATCAACGAGATTAAGTAGTTATTTATTTTGCATAATGTTTCTGTAGGACCTGTTCACATAAAGAACACAGTTTAGAAGGAAACATGCAAATAATTGGACATCAATCGTGTACAGTTTCTCAGTAATATTCCAAATGTGAACGTGTGGAGTAAAACTGCTTTAAGCTGAGTTAGCACTGAGATACAGGCTTCTTATTTTTTCTTATTTTGAGCCGATGCACAAATGACTCTGCTGCAGTAGACTGAACTTTTCAGTGTGACTTTTTTTAAAAACAATTAGTGTTATCTGAGTGTTTATTGAAATGTTCAAATCTGAGTCCCTGCTGTGAAGGAGCTGAAGGGAACTCTCATCTTAACAGATGGCAAATGGTTGGGATTTGGAGTGAAACCTTTTGAAAATATGTTTAGCACTGATTCCTACAGGACAAAACCACTCTATACAGGGCCATATACGGTCAGTAGAACTAGCCTAGAAATACTCCATTAATGAACTTGAAACACAGTAACATTCACAAGAGGACATTTCTAAATCCAAACCTATCAATTTCCCGGGTTACTGAGCAGCTCCCTAGCAGTTATACTGAGGGGACACCTACTATATTGCCAGGGACAGCTATAAGTATTTCTGAGGTAAAAGTACTACATCTGTCACCCAGTATTGGTTTAAAATCTGCATCATTACTGGGACCTTACACGGTTATATTTCACTATAGCTGTATGTGCTGTACGTGTGTGTGTTTCTATGACTCTCTCTACATATATTTTTATTGTATTCAAGGAATGGCATTGGTTAATTTAGCTCTGATGTAACGTGAGGTCCTTACGGCATTAACTAAATCTTTGATTTTAATACTGTTTTTTGTAAACTTGTTTTTTCTGAATGATACACATAATTCTAATGTTAACTGCTACCTTTGTGTGACTGTAATTCACATGTTTACATTTAGGAGTGTGCTTTGTGGAAATGTTATGCTGTATTTAAAAAATAAATGACTCTCCTTTGCCATAACTGTCAAAACATCAAAGTTTGTCTTGTTTTACTAAATCTCCGGCTTTAGACTGTAAGTCAGCATAAACTGTTTTAACCTCTTTTTCAGAAAAATAATATCAGCAACATTAAATAACAGGCCATGAAAACAAGCATGCAACATATTGTGCAATATCTTCAAAATATGCAGCATGCTGTACAAATGGGAACTGTATTTATAATGATCACTCTCCATATATTGAAGTACTGTACAATGAAGGAAATACAGTGTATGTGGGAAGCACCTGCTGTATGACCCTACTATGACAGCAGTTACATTCATTGATTTCAGCAGAGAGGGCAGAGGATTGATCTTTGTCATTATATGGAAATTTTCAGAGAATATCTATCAGACTGTAGCGAGTTGAGGATTTTCAGAAGTTTTTTTGTTATTTTAAATTGCAGCACCAGTTCATCAGGCTCAGCATTGATGACATTGAAGTCATTCTTCGTGTTTGGATGTGTTTGATAGCCCTTCACAAAAAGCACTGTAGATGTTTGAGCCCAAGTCAAATGACTCACAGGCGTTACTTTTGGATAGTCACACTAAACAATGAATTCAAAAACAACACATGAAAATAAGCAAAACATCTCCACTATACATAGTAGGCAGCTTTAAACATAAAATCTCAAAGTACCATGTGACTGGTTTTATGGATGACTTCTTATGTGTTGCACAAAGCAGCATGAACATCCTTTACTGACACACAGAGGGAGGCTTGGTACCAAATTTAGTCACCGTAATATAAAACAGTGAGTCATCTTCAGGGCCATAACCTCTAATTGGGCAGATGTAAGCAGTGATATACTAGAGCACTAGAGCAGTTCAGTTTAGGTCTGTTGCTCTCCCTGATCCGTATAAAGGATTTACATTCGGGTACATTTAGGAAATTAGTTACATTTCCAATTTTTAGTTCAATGATAGAAATATGGAGTATGGAAAACACAACCAGTCGCAAGGACTTTCAGTACAAACAGTAAATGACTTATGACAAAATCATGGTTTGAGCAGACACTCAATCCAAATCAAATTTAATAACAAATACTACAGACAGGAAGTAAGAATACACAATATACATATCCCACGGGCCATTCTGAACACCAGGAGACAGTGCACATAAGAAGGTCTGCAAACAAGAGGTATTTACTCCTTTTGACGATGAGGAAAGGATCTGATTATTATTGGTATTTTTTAAGTGCTCATCATGATAATGTATGGAAGCAACAGACAGTAAATAGAATGGCAGAGTAATTAGGCAAATGTTTGAAATTCAAATCATGGGAAGGTATTCTTGGGTTTTTACATAAATAATAACTCATTTACAATGTTGTGTTCTTTCAGTAAGTGCCTACATAAAACTCGCGATTTACTTAAATACTAAAGTGCCAAATGAGAGAGACAAACTTCCTCCCATTTGCAACCTCTTATCTATGTTTTCATGCAGGCAGCACATGTGGTGAACTACTGTACATACTGTAACACTTCTATCAACAACGGCATGGGCAATGAAGGAAAAGGTACAGCAAATGATCCACACACTGAGTTCATATGGGCGTATTCATGCGGCTGTGTCTAGGACTTGCTGTGATCAGCGGTCATCCAGTATATATCAGCCAGTATGAGAAATTATTCTAATTCAACTCCACAGCAACCACCAGTGTGACAGTCTATTGTCCCCTGCTAAACTGGCTCTGACATGCCACTGTTATCCAACTCTCACCACATAAACTGATTACTAGGATCAGCTCTACAAAGGCAGCTCTTTGCTTAATCTGCCGTTTTGGCATGACTGTAGACTACAGATTTCACCATCTCTTTCTCACTCCTTACATTAAATCTTGTAGCCCTCCTCAAGATAATGCTATTAGTATTCCTATTTAACTAAACTATGCTCTAGGGAGGTGGCAACGCTTCATGTTTTATATGCTTAAAACATTTTAAGAATAGAATAAATCAGCATTAAAACTTATTCAGATACATTTCTTGGATAATTCAGAACATCCCTACAACCATTGCTGGAAATCAGCCAATTGCTGGTAGGAGACACTGCAACCTGGAGCCCAATCCGGAAGCTTACCCAGCATGGCAGGACTATACCTTGGATGAGATGTCAGGTCACACCTATAATTTAGAGACACAGGTTAACCTAGCCAGCATGATGGGAGAACATAGAAACCCCAAACATAAGGTGCCTAGTCTGGAATCCAGCTGAAGACCCAGGAGGTGTACGTTGGCAGCAATAACACTCCACTATGCCTCACATTGGTAACCAAAATTGTTTAATTAACATTCATAAAATGCAGAACAAGTAAAGGGGTTTCATCAGCTTTTAACTCGTGGTGCCTTAGAGACCAGATTATATCACGCCCATGGTAGCTGTTACAGTAATTGTCCACAAAAGGCTGTATTGTACTGTTCCTCGTAGATGGATATCACTACAGCCGTGGTGTCAGCCCAAAGAAAAGTGTGAACAGCCTTTTGCACAGCAAATTATGTTTTTTAAGCATCATGTGTTTTTTTGCTTTTATACTGGTTGGCCGTGCCATACTAGAAATGGGTTCTGCTGTTACACATAGTAAGTTGTAAAATTTCTGGATTGTTGGACAGCCTTCCCTAGAATAGTACCGTAATTAAAATGTATAAATCAAACATTTCTATGGATAAAAAATTGATTTAGACAAATGGATTAGAACTAGATAGCCCCTAGTACAGTATGTTTTATAGAATATCCTAAACCATGTTGCTAAAGACCAGGAGCATATTTAAAGTTATTGACCAATAAAGACATGTCTTCAACTCTGACCCTTGATGACTAGAAAGATCACAAGATTTTGATTCTTAATGATCTCAAAGGCGCAAAAGCTGCAAAGGTAGAAATGGGGTGGATGAGGGAAGCAAAACGAGCAAGGATGAGGAGAGAGTAATGTGGGGTATATACAGTATGGGAATCTGAGCAATTACATTAGGATTAGTTGCTGGTTGCGAGAGCTGAGCTTAATTAGTCTGTCTGACATCATCCCTACCACACTTTTGTTAGAACTCCATTTAGCTATCCGCGATGCTCATCTGAGAGTTTGATCCCCAGAAACCCCCTTATTACTCTCTCCTTTCAAGAGCGGCTACCCACAATGCACACACAGTATACTGTACATTAGTGTTATCAAGGCAATACTCTTCTCTGGGTCCTAACACCCCAGTATAGTGACGGGGACACTATACTGTAAACAGGCGCCGTCCTTCGGATGAGATGTAAAACCAAGGTCCTGACTCTCTATGGTCATTAAAAATCCCAGGGTGTTTCTCGTAAAGAATATAGGTGTGACCCGGTGTCCTGGCCAAATTTCCCATTGGCCCTTACCAATCATGGCCTCCGAATAATCCCCATCTATGAATTGGCTTCATTACTCTACTCTCCTCCCCACTGATAGCTGATGTGTGGTGAGTGTACTGGTGCGCTATGGCTGCTGTTGCATCATCCAGGTGAAGCTGCACATTGGTGGTGGTGGAGGGGATCCCCATTACCTGTAGAGCGCTTTGAGTGGAGTGTCCAGAAAAGTTCTATATAAGTATAAGCAATTATTATTATATTAATAAGTGGAGTGGTTAGTAATAATATTAAAGTTTTATTATTTAATGTTCTGATATGTTGTACAACATAGGCTATATCCATTGTGGGGGTGAGAATTAGAATGACAAGCAGCAAATTAAACGCCCTGCTGGTGCAGTCTAGTGACCTCTCAAGGTGAAAGTGGGATACATGCTATACCTGGACAGCAGCCAGATTAAGAAAAGCTGCCACTAATCTTGTACAGGTAAGACAGCAAAGACAGCAAGACAGGGAATAAAGGCCATGGACAGCCCTATTGTTGAAGAGCCACTGCATTTCACAAACCACAGTGCTACCTGCAGCTTCAGAAAACTGGTCATATTCTTATCTTTCCAGTATTCAGTTCCTCAAAACAAAATATTTCATGGGTTATTCAATCGCAGGTCAATGTCATGATCCCTCGTCATATTAAAGGGGAACCACAATGCTATTTTTATATTTCTGGGTTAGCATCATTTATCAGCATGGATAAATCCAGTTCAAACCACAACAAAAGTACAATGCACACACTATCATGTAAAACCACCCATTTACATCACACAATAGACAAAATTTCCAGGTATGCAGTGCCACATTCTACAATTCAGAACAAGGCAACAAAACGTCTGGTAACATGAGTCAGCCTTATTACATTGTAAAAAAACAGGCTTGTGAACACATTTCTTTTTAAGCAATGCCCTGCATGCACACCACATTGGAACATTTCTGCGATGAAATGTCTGCTACACAACCTGTACAAATTGGCTTGTACTTCACATTACATTAGGCTTTCCAGTGACTAGAGAGCAGGAAGGGCCACATCATATCACAGTACGTGGGAGCTCTTGCTCTCGCCTGAAGCAGGGACCGGGGTTTGCAACAAATAGCAAAGTTTTAATTTCCATAACATGAAGGGAGTCATAGCTGTATAAGAAGCTTAATATGAGGTAAAGGGGTTTGTAATCAACATGATGTTCTGTTCCACACCCTTAAGTTATTGCGTAGGACTAAAATATGAGGAGCAAGAAGTCAATTCATGGAAATATTGTGTAGGAAAATGTACCTTAAGGGCAAAAAAAGTATTTAAATGTCAACATGTATACCTTTAGCGTGATTCACCAAGGTACACTGACCTTGTCACTATATATTTCCAACTAAAAGTTAAAGCTCTGGAGATGCCAAAGTTTCAGCACGGAAATAGCACCATCTAGAGGCTACAATGGAAACCCATGTCTGCGTGCAGGAAAGAAAATTCAAATAACAAATCCTGAGAATTTGAAAAAAATACAACTTTTAAGTTAAATTATTTTATTTTCCAGATCAACTATCTTCCCTTTAAAAGCTTTTATTACAAACGAGTTTTTATCTTAGTAGCACAACTTAAACTGATAAGTCCTTATACATTAACAGTCTTGTAAGTCAGTAATCACTAAAAAATTACAGAACTACAGATAGCAAAAAATATTTATAGAAACCCAGTTACATTGCAATTGTAACCATTACACTTAACTGTAATAAAACAATATGTAATTTGTAATGAATAAAGCATGATCACTATTACAGATATGAAAGGATTATTATATTGATAGATACCATCCCACCCACTAGAGAGCCGCTGTCATCAACTTGTGTATATTGCTGTTTTACAGGATATATTTAAGTATGGCCTAAAGTAAAGCTAATTTTACATTTGGATTCAAAGAGCAGAAGAGAACTACCTTTGAATATAGAAACAAGGCTTTAAAAAATACACTGCGGAGACAGCTTTGTCTGTAGTGGTTCTTCATGGCTTTGAGCGTCTGTTTTCCATGAGCAAGCCCAGCATGCAAGAACCAGCTCAATGCAGCTCTGTCTCTAGAATAACCAGTGCTGGACCAGTGCAATCCCCGTAACTCCTTTCATAAACAATTTGATGGATTGACTACACTGAGGTCTGCTTGTAGTTTTTGGTTTCCAAAACCTTCTTGCCACACATTGCACAGATGCCTAGGAAAACAAGAGACTTATTAGAATCCACAGGTTTTCACACTTCCACAACAAACATTTACTAGGATGACTTGCATACCTGCTTCATTCCTAAATTACTACAATGCCCAGATAAGTAGCTGGATTCTTACCTTTTTTGTAGGCACACCCTTGACAATAGTTTGAACCAGGCTGGTGGACTGAGCTTTTACAAATCCTGCAGATCGCAAATCTGGACTTTCCATAGGGGTCAAACCTAAAACAAAAGATAGGAAAACATGATAAAGACACATAAGGTTAGCTTGTATACTACTAAGGTAAATCTACAAATAAACAGCACATATGCCAACAATGAAAGTCTGGATTTAGTAGTTCTGTGCTAAAGACTCAAAGAATCCTGAGCACACAGTTTTATGAGACAAGCTATCTTGATGGTTTCTCCACTGGTGTCAGCAAGACTATTGATATTATTGGCGCACATAATGGTAGCTGCATTTTACCCGGGGTGCTGCACTTCAGCAGTAAATCAAGTGGGTCACCTTCTATATGTGACAAATTTTGGAATGAAAAGCACTATGTACATTTCCATAGAAAATACAAATGTAGAACCATTTTTTTAATGAAAAGATGCACCTACCTTCCTTTTTTTGAAGTAAGCGCCTTGTTTTCATTCAGCTTGCGGCCACCACTTTCTGCAATTGTAAGAAACAAACGTGGGTTGATTAATGCCCAACCTTTCTAATGTAATGATGTTTTAGGCTACTCCCCATTATTCGTGGAGCACACATCTTGTTCCAGAAGATGCTGAACACTCCATTATCAACTGCAAAAGTGATCTACGTCTTGAAAACCCTTAGAAAGTGACCGAAAACCTAGATCTGGCAGTACTCAGAATGTATCCGAGTTCAAGAAGGGGAACGGACACATCCAGATCCAGAAATTGATCAGTATTGGAAAAGGATCTCTGTTAACTGCGTATCTGAGTTCAAAGGCTGCACTTCAAATCTCCGTTTCTTATTTGCTTACGTGTAGCGTAGTGCATTAGTTAGGGTACCTGTTGTGTTTCTGGCTCCATCTTTCCATGTATCCGGAGTGATGACACGGCCGAGTTTCTTTTCACCTGCAAATTACAAAGAGTTTCAGCCAGAAATGAACAGCGGAGTCGCCGTCTCTTCGTTTAAGATCACACGACAGGACGTCTGCCAGTAATACCTACAAACGCCTAGTACAAAGGAAACTAAAAGAAATGAAGAAAATAGTATACAATCGCAATTGCCTCACATTAAAAATGAATGGATATACTGGTTATGTGACTATTTTTTCTAGCATTTCCACTGCGGCACAAATTGTAAACAGCGAAGCAACGTCCCAGTGTTGGCGATTATTACGATTATCACGGAGAGATGATCAGTGCGACCTGTATTCAGAGACAACTATAACAAAGTCACGAAACCACTTACACTTCTCACAAACCATCTTTCTCCTCTCTTAAAACGAGAAAAAAAAAAAATCAATCCACCTACAGCGGAGAAAAGGAAAACAAACTATCTGCTCTGCCGGTGCCAGAGCCGTGTGACAACTTCCCGTCTCGTCCTTCCGTTCAGAAAGAGTGCGTACTGTATACTTCAAACTAAATAAATGAACCTCGACTGTAATTAAACCCCTCTTTGCGTCATTCCTGTAACACCGGCTTTACGACGTCCACTGACATGGCAGAAATAAACTACTGAACTCTACATATTATAGTAAACACATAAAATATATGGGTGTTTATGCGTCTCAAAAAGAATTTACTCCTTCCGGCTAGTCTGCCGTAATATTTTGCATTTTCCAAGGGTTTGTGGGTAGTGACCTTAGACTTTATCCCCGCCCACTCGGATGGCGATTGGGAATCGGTATGAAGCAACTGTTTGATTGGGCAAAATGTACGTCAAGCAAAACACGCCGTGACACCCCCCACGTCCTTGTTTACGCTGTACTGACCTTGCGCAGAATATATTTCATACGGAAATCAGGTATGAATGATACTGTTGTGGTTTATTGTCGTGCATTTGTGCACCACGACTAAAAAAATGGAAAAACACCTTTTAGAGGCTACGTGTTCTGGAGAATAATTCAGATTTTTTTCATTCGCTTGATGTATATAGTAGTTTATTATTTTTTTCCAACGTTGAATGATATTATATAGCAACAATCCGACCATCTAGAGGGTAAGCTATTTCTTAAAATATAATTACGATCCTATTTTCTCTTGTTGATTATTCAGTTTTATAGGCATAATGTCTGCAGTTTCTTACGCAGTGCATAGTTTTTTGCAGTTTTAAGTTTAATTGGAACGGTAGAGATTTGATACTTGATGATTTACCGGGGCTTGGAAGAATGCTAAAGATGAAATATAACTTTTGAAAAGTTGCAGCTCCTGTAGGAGACGCCAGACCTCTACAAAAGGGTTCCCCGTGTATGTTAAGTTTCTGAACACTGTGACGGTTTGAGACAGAAACATGTAGTCAGGTTTGCCTTGGCCGCCCGTCTTCAGCTACTCTTGGCTGATCACAAATCCCTCAACGGATATAGACGTGGTGTAAAGCAGTTTTACTCTTTTTTACATTAAAATTGATTTTGAAAATGTCCGATCTTTTGTACCAACGACATTTAAATATTTTTACCTTTTCTACGCAGATTTAGATAAACTAAGGTACAAACACTTAGCTAATATACAGAACCTGGTGATTGCTTGTATACAGTAAGAATTCGCAGCTCCGAAAACCCAAGTTGAGTTTGTGTCCTCTGCACTGGAAGTTTTCTTTACGCAGCTGTATTAGAGTTTTAAGGAAATAATAATTTCTGACAAAATTGAGAACACAGATGGAACTGAAATCAGGTGACCACGTGTCTTCTTGAGTACAGATAGCCAACACTATACAGAGGCCTTTGTCAGCTGTTTTTGGATGTTACTATTGAGTGTTGTACCTTAGCAAGCAGTCTTAAACTCCTGATATTCCCCAGACCTGAAATGATTTAAGTATCCTGAAGTTGGTAGTATTGCGTGCTTGTTTTCCAGCCTGGAATCACCTAGGATCACCATGAAGGATATTGAGATCAAGGGAATGATTTCTGCCCATACCATCATGGCAGCTTCTGTCCTGATGGCCACAGTACTGCCCCTTCTGTTTGTGGATGGGTTTTCAGTCTATGGCACACACCTTGTGTGGCTGTATTCTGTCTCTGGAGCTGTGGCTGCTGTTAACATCACTGTCTATTGGCTGCTGGGCATCAGTCCACCATCTAAGAAGAATACTCTGAGTTACAAGGTGAGGTCTGAGGGAGACTTTCTTCTCTTTGCAGAATCAGCCTGCTTTCACAGGTATTGCACAACCCAATACAACTTTTAAATGTTTTCAGTTATCTTTTTAAAGTACCTTTAATTCAGTTAATGCAGTTTAATTTTAAAATGGAAGTAACACTAGAATAACTGGTATATATGAATCTAGAGATTAACTATATGAATAAAAATACTCTGCACTTATAGTTGATATAGGGACTAGAAGCTTTGAGTGGTTTTCTGTATGCTTGTCCATTGAATTGCATTGGTCTCCACATATATCATTTTGTGGTAACCGAGCCAGCAAACACTATAAAGATATAGTGGGTAATTATTAAACCTGTTTGGTCTTATCCATAGGTGTCTAAAGCCTTCAGGTCCTGCCTGTATTTCATATTATCCTGCTTCCTGTTCCACACAGTTGTTGTCCTGTATGGAGCACCTTTGCTGGAGTAAGTACTTAACAACAAGTCACTAGGAATAGTTTGTCCTGTTACTAAAATGCTCTGCCTGTTCATGTTTCACATCAGGACATATGAGTCAAATAGTCAGTGATGTTTTTGAAAGTCTTTCTCTTGTTTCATTGCATCCTGCTGGTGTGACTGAGATTTGTTTAGGAAAAGTAATTGCTGAGGTCTGAAGTGCCCCACCGGATCCCAGCTTGAAACTAATCCAAACCCTTTTAGAGTGTCTTAAATATTGTCTGAGCAGCGGGTGTAATATTCCTGACTGAATTGACACACATTCCTGGAGCAAGAGCAGGGTGTTTTACCCACAAATCATAGCACTTCGCATAAGTGAAATAAAGACCTATTTTCTTGCAAGGACAGGGTGTGCCTTGCTAGGATATGTGTTCTCTTTTCCAGGTCTGCGCTTGAAACCTTTTCCTTTGCTGTCCTGCTGTCCACATTCACCACCCTGCGCTGTCTCTGCATCCTGGGGCCTAACGTCCAGGCCTGGATTCGTGTTTTCAGTCGGGATGGGTGCGTCTCTTATTCTGACTTTCACACCGCCTGTTTCTGCAGGGGAAGTACTGTTTTCCGAAGTATGCAGAAACCAGTCCCTTTTGTTATTCACAATCCGATAAATCAGTTTGAGAGCTTAGAAGTGGAGGAGCTTATGTGCATAAATAGGCTGAACTTGCATGAGCATGTCAGAATTTCTATGAAGTATTTTTCAGAATAATATTAAGTGTTTTTATATAAGTCATTGGGCTTATATATAGTAAACAGTACAATTTACTGTAACTGTAGGACCTTTAGTGTCCTACCTTCTGTAGAATACAACAAAACCTATCCACAGGGCGAGAAGAGTCCATTTCTTTGTGAGTGTAATGTCACTGGCAGTTTCTTGTTGGTGTGCAGGAGCTAATGAAGGGAGGAATCCTCGTCGTGTTTTCTTTTTACCTTCAGTACTGATGGCTTTGTAACACGAATGACGTATGCACGGTATATATCATTCAGGAAGAGTCCATATAGCCTCTCTGCATGGGACTGCTGGAGTGCTGACATTTATACTTACAGAACATGGCCTACTGTGAAGTGGTGTGCAGATAAGCCTAGTTCCTGGATTGACATATGTGATGAGTACATACTCATTTTAGTATTATAATATAAGACTGTAGTGTGTTTTTCATTTATCTCATCAATGTGAAATAAGAAATTAATATTTTGCAAAAAGTAGTGTGGCTGTGTGTCATTTTTAAAGCTACCACTAGGGGGAATTCTAATGCCACGATTGTTTCTTTACCCTAAGTCCATTAACTTGATTATTTTCTTCCTCTAAAACCTGAAGATAACAGTTTCACAGAATTTTCTTAGATGACTTAGCGTAAATGAGAACAATGAAAAACTAGATTGATTGCATAACAGGCAAGACTGGAAAGCAGTGTGGGGTTGTGTTGAAATGCCACTTGTCCTAGTAAGAGGAAATGGTTATCAAGAACCTGTTCGGGATCTTACTGCAAGTGAAGCGCTGGCACTTGTAAATTTGTTTCAGTGGTTTCTGTGGAAAATGGTTTTGGGGAAGGAGAATACAAAATGTCATGACTACCATTTCCCCACTCAGACAAGAGCTTTTTAAGGAATAGTTCTGCATTATTTAAGGCAATGGTTTTCTGAGAGGATGGTATATCATATAGTTCAGTAAGGTTGGTTTGAGATGAAAGGCACAATACACAATACACAATATTGTAGTTGAGGATTTTGTTTAATTTTCTGTATCCTTATCTTTTTTTAAAACTTTTTATTTTTTCTGCATTTTTTCAAAAGGGGCTTAAGACTAAGGAAACATCATTAAAATGTATTAATTTGAACTTAGGCTTTAGGTGCTCCAAATCTTAAAAGCTGAAGTTTTAAAATCAATAGAGCTACTTATCAAGCTGCTGACGGCAGTGTGGTATTTTTTGTCCGGTTAGGCCTAGCTGCCAGTCAGAGCTACTTAAACTGATTCTTTAGCTAGAATGGAGAGAAGCAGAGATGTACTGATTGGCTGATTGAGTACTTCAAAGTGAAGCACCGCTGCTTGACTTTAATTTCTCCTTGTTGTGAGGTTTCAGGGAAAGCTGCAGCAGGCAGTAGAGAAGAGGTCCGTCTTCACTCATCTTTCCTGGATTTACCGCATTTCTACTCTGCTCAAAACATATTTTGATGCTATTTAACATTTATTTTCTCAGCACAGATCAGCTTTGAAGCACAATTTTCTTACTACTCCAAAATTTCACTTTTACATAAGTATGTGAATAATTACTCTCACCCGCCGAGAGCTTCTGTAAAGGGCGGGTTGGATGACTCCAGCTGAAGTGGTGTGAACAGTTAAGAACGTGTTGAGGGGAAGCTGGGGCAGGTCTGGCCCAGTGTGTTGCCTGCTGTTTACCGCACTTTCTGGAAAGGGTTCTAGTTGTCCTTGACTTTGCAGTTTCCTCCCTCTCATCCCAGATGGCTGTGGTCACCTGACAGATCTGGTTCACAGTCTCCTTCCTGATTTGACTTTACCACCAGATAAAGACTGAGACGCAGAAGCAGACAAACACCAACCTACAGACACAGACCCGCAAGGACACTCATAGCACAGCTGTGCTTATTGTTTGAATGGAGTGGAGAAGTGCAATTTGTATATGGGAAAAATATATATTAAGGCAAACAACACCTTTTTATCACTTGATAAGACAAAACAGTTTAATGAGGAAGAATGGGGCTCGTAACTGGAATGTGTGGGAGTAAGCACCTCTTTATGTTCAGTAGCAGAGACTCGTTGACACGGGTACAGTGGTGCTCATGTCTCAAGTGGCACTTGAAAGAGAGGTTAATTCTGAATGTGCCCTTCTGTTATAGGGTGTCTGTCAAGTACTTGTCAAAAAGCTCCAGCGTTTTCCACTGACACCTCTGCCAGCTCAGGGAAGAGATGACTCTATTAATGTTTTGTGTTCACTGCTCCATCTGAATGTATAGTTGTGAATACAGATCTGATTTAAATGAGTAAAATTTAAATGTTACCTGCCTTAATTAATTATCCCTCGGGGAGGTGAAGCTGTCTGTTCTTTTGTACATTCAGGTTTCTATTTCTTTGTTTTGCGAGGAACTGCTTTGCAATAGGTCCCCAGTTCACGTGAAGTGGATCGACTGTTGACTTGTGCTTGCAGGGCCATGTCAGTGTGGGACACCAGTCTGCAGATCACCACAGCCTGCAGTATGATTGGAGCTTGGCTGGGAGCATTTCCTATCCCCCTGGACTGGGACCGGCCCTGGCAGGTCAGTATGTTAAACACCCTGGGGCTCTCCTCTCTTCTACTTCTCAGTACACAGTGCACCGGACAGTGCATTACAGGAGCATGTGTGTTCGAATTTAATCACCTGAGGTGATTAAACTGACAGCCTATACAAACCTCTGTTTAGCACTCATTGAAATATTTGTTCATTGTGGAGAAGGGGCAGGTGTGCAAAACTAAGTGTGCGTAGATATGTACAATTGTAAGTGCCTTTGTTAGAAGTGCAGTATGTGTAAGATAAATGCAGTGTTTGCTCCTGAAAATCTATACAGATAGATTTGAAAACTGCACAGTTTTTGGTGACAGCAGGCTCCCCAGGGAACACAAAAATGGAGTAGTCATTTCTCTGTGGAATATGAATCGTTCTCAGACAGCTATCTTGGGAGAATGTAGTTTATTTACAAAGGGGCGTGAATGCAGTAAGTAACACTTGTTGTTCTACCTGTAGTTACAGATCGGGGTGGCTCATCTTGGGATGAATAAAGGTCATATTTCTAAAAATCAGGTACTGATGCCACCTTGCCTAGCAGGCAAATGTATGAACAACAAAACACCACACTAGTCAAAAAATGCCATGTGGCATCTTTGTTCCTGGCACTGAGCAGTTTCAGAGTAATAGAAAAGACAATGTAAAGACACAAAACACATTCATTGTTATTAACACAGTATGTCTGTATGAGTACCTAGGCTCAGTCTTTAACAGAACTGAGACTAGGCTAGCCTGGTCTCTCCATGACAAACAGATCCAAACATTGTCTGAAGGAGAAATATTCTTTTGAGGAAATGCAAAGCTGTTCATATAAAGGGATGAAAAGGATAAAATGAGACTTGGTCTAGACTAGCCATTTGCCGCCTTTCAATTTCAATACTGTATTAGGACACCTTTTACACATTTCTGCCTATTCATTCTTCTCACTCAAAAGAAGGTTTAGGTTCAGTATGTGCAGCCCACTGTACAGCCACTTACAGCTCTCCTTTATCTGCACTGAACTGAGTGGTGATCAGAATACTCAGTAACCTTACAGTAAGTCAAATAGGTCTCTTTTTTAGCCTATCTGTGTTTTATGCAACAATATTGTCAAAATAGTTGCTGCATAATGAAGTTTCCACAAGCTTAATTTATCAGATATAGCAATATTATAGAGTATTGCACAATTCCTCTGCAGAGTTTGCACAATTTAATATGCAGCTCATGCTTTACAACAGATATGATCTCCAGCTATGAGGATATGGGTTTTGACCACAAGAAGTTTAGGCGATTTTAAGATTGCAATGTATTTCTGTTAACTGACACTACGTTTGTATGGAGATGTAGAAGCCTGTGACAGTACATGAGGCTGATCTATTGAGCTGCACTCTGGTGTGCTTCCCCTCCCTCTGCCTCCCCGCATTTTAATGAGCACTTAATGAGTAATAAAACAGCACTGATTGAAGGGTGAAATGTAAATGAGGAGGGAGAAAAACAAGCACAGCAGTGTACATTTAAGGCATGGCTCTGCAATCTTTCCTTCTTCCAAAAAAATAAGCACCCAGCTTCAGCATAGATACAACAAAACTTTATATGTTGTAGAATTAAAAAAAATATCTTGCACTAGACTTTCTAATGAAAGACTTTGAACATCAGAATAGGAGGACGTTGGTGTGAAGTGGCAGGACTTGGTTTAATTTCTCATTTATGGCACCATAGACAGAAGACCTGCCATTTTATAGCATGTCTGAGCCACCTCAGCTCCTGCAGATAAACCAGTTTTCAGCTCGCTGGCAGCCAGCACAACAGAGCTGCGCTGAACAGCATGAGTCTCACTCTATGTGGAGAGAAAAACATTAGATAAGGCCCTGCTTGATCTGAAATCTGTTCTTTTACATTAGTTAACGCTGCGGGCTTTTAGCTGAGGTGAAATACATTTAATTCCGCACCGAGTGTATACACAAAGTCAGACCCTCATGCAAGGTAAGTGGACAGTCACTGAGCACATCAAAGATGTTAAGGGATAAAATCAAGCAGGATCTGCAATACTGTATCCTCTCCAAGCATGTCTGTTATACTGAAGGGCACTACCACCACAAAGATTAAAGGCCTACAACTGTGATAGTATTGTTTCTCTTGTAGCTGTAGTATAAGCTGAGGGTGTTAGAGCAGTTTTATACTGTAGTTTGCCCTAAGAAAGTCTGATTAGAGAGTGAAATATAAATGTTGCTTAACTCCATTCTGATTTGGTACTATGCAAAATGTTACCAAGTTGCGAAGAGAGAAAACGTTTAATAGTTGGTCTTAGTCTTCTTAATAAACTGTATTTAGAGATATTTTGTTCCCAGGATTTGTTGCATGGTTGGTATTGTCTTATAAAAAGCTACTTATATCACCACAAAAAGTGATTTGACTTCAGTTCAAGTTGTACATGTAAAAAGAAATTGTGTTTATATATAAACCATAACAAAACCAATTGAAAAATACTTTTTTTTTTACATAAACACCATTAAAAGCCTTTCCTGTCCAAGGAACTGCCACAACGCTGCCCCCTAAAGCACATCATGCTGTTATGACTCTTCCCATGCATCTTAGCTCCAGGTGTAGCATGGAACGGGAAGGCACAGTGAGCAGGTCTTTGAATTATTTAGCGTGAGTCATGACAACTGCCCTTTCCTTTATGTATTATCTATTTAGCCAGTAGGATCTTTGTTTATGAAGACTGAAACAGGTTTTAAAATGACATACAGCTTTATGTGGGTTGTATGCTTCCTAGGAAAAACACAAGTTCATGATTATTTTTAATGTGCTGCTAAAACTGTGTAACCACTCTTTAATTGCATTCAATGTGCAATCAGATAAAAAAGAAGAAAGTACAGCAATTAGTGTTTAAATGGTTACTCTGTGCATTGACTTCATAAGCAGTTTGGAACTGAATAAAAAGGCAGATTACAGCTCTTAACCCATCTTCCTTCAGGCCTGCTGTGACGCAGCAAAGTCTGGCTTGAGAGAAAAGGCTGGCTGAACTCGCAGTGACAACAGACATCCAACACAGTCTACTGCAGGACAATTATCACAGGCAGACACTCAAGGCCTCCATCACAAAAACACACAAGTCAAAAACTAAACAAAAACCAGGCAGAGACTTCTGCAGCTTTGAATTTAAAAAGTTGTCTATAGTGTCAAAACACTGCTGCAGCTGAAGTTGGTGGGAGGGATCTGGAGGAGGGCTGTTAAAATTGAAGTTCCATAATAAAAGAACAGAGGACTGCGTTGTGTCCAGTGACGGGTTGTGCTCATTTTCCCCCGACGGGGGCGGTGTCTCTGTATCCTCTCGACACAGGTGTGGCCAGTCTCCTGCACACTAGGAGCGACATTTGGCTTCTTGACCGGCCTGGTCGTTGCTCCCTTGTGGATACACTGGCACAGGAAGCAGCTGACGTACAAGAGCAAGTAGATGGCAAGGTGGGCTAACGGAGATGCAAGCAATGTCTTGATGCCCGTGGGCTGTGCCAGATTGGCATGGATTGGCAAAATGGTTTCCTTAAATCATCTCCTATAAAACTAAAGATGGATTAAAGCCAGCTCTTGTTTGTTTTTGTACTACTTTTGAAGCAGCATATCAAGTGGCAAGAGTTTTATAAAAGCCATTGACAAGTTCATCCGAATGACAAATGTATTTAAAAGCTAGATTTGGGACTGGATGGGAGGGGATTCTGAGCTGCTAATTTTGTTGGATTTGTATGTATTTTTGATGGAATTGACTGGTAACAGTTTAATTTGTAAGGAAAATAAAAGTTTATGCAGCTTTGGTTAATGTTTCCCTTGTTTTCTCCTTTAAAAGAAAATGTTAGTCTCCTGTGCGGATTCTGATGAAGAGCTGTGCAGAGCACACTGGCTTGTTTTCAGTAGCTCTGTCCATTTGTACTGTGGATCAGTCTTTCTGGGAGACCTTGTAAGGTGTATCCAGTTTTTCTCTTCCTCTTTTCTGTCACTTCCATTTTCTTTCCTCCTTCCCTCTCTCACGTAATGAGGCAGCAGTTAATGCATCGGGAGCCCAATCTTCTTTTCAGAGCATTTTTCTTTGGGGTTAAGATAGCGATTATGGCTTCGTCAAAGACAGTCTTTAGCCCTTTCTGCGTTAAAGCGGAACACTCCACATAGCAGCAGGCACCAATCTGCAAGAAAAGTGAATAGTTCAGAAGAAAAAAAAACAGTTTCTAAAAGCTGCTACAGGGCAACTCTTCACACCTAGTCCCCTCTTTTAACCACAAAGCAAGGGTTGTGATGTGGGTTTCATTTCCTGCTATTACACATTGTTCAATATCAGCTGAAGATGAATTTGCATCCAGTTTGGAACAAATTTATCAAAACAGCGTTCTAATGAAATTATTACAGAACCCTGCCACATTAAAATAACTCAGCACTGACAGAAACATTCACATCTGGCACTTAGCCTCGTGCATCCAGAAAGGCCAGAGAAAGATGGTCATACAGAAGGCAGATATATATACTATGAACACATACATGCATGGGACACATTTTTGACTCTGTATCACTCAGTTTAGGAACATTTTTTATGCTGTCATAGGGTAGCAAAACCTTCCAGTTACCTTACAGTAAACGTGTGAACAACTCCTTTAGCACACCAGTATGCATCACACACTGTAGGCCTGGAGCTTCAGCGAATCTCACTTTCAGCACAGCCCCCATTGCACACTTCACACCCACCACAGCCCTATCAAGCTCATCAGCCTAACAGTGATACATTCTGCCCTAATGATTCACAATGTTTTTTTACAAAAACGTCTTAGACATGCACTGCCAGAAATGTGGCTTACTATAGTTTCTCTTGTGCCTTCATTAGTATGAATTAACGCTCATGTTTCCTTAGAAACCTCACTTGAATAGTGTAAGTGCTGTCATCATTTTCTGCCTGTTTTCCAGGTAATGATTAGAGAGTCTAGAAGTCTAGAGCACCCCAGTATTAAAACAGCCAGTAAGTGTTGGGTCAGTGGTGCCCACTGTCTGCGAATGAGCTCCATAATCTCCCAAAGGGGAGACTATGGACAGGCTGCTTTTCATGTATGATAGTGAAGTCTAAAAATGATCAGAGAGGTCACCAATTAATGACCCGCCTTTGCCCACCTCAGTCCTCCTGTAATTCCTCATTACAGACCTTTGTTCCAGTCTGATTCAGGCTGAAAGCTTCCATTAATTAACAATTAATTCTGTGAGAGCAGACATATATTTCACTACATAGGCAGCTCCACCTTTCCACCCTCCCTCAGAACTATTAAGCCATGAGATTTTAATAAGTGTTGGCAAATGGGACACTGCATGCTCGCAGGGTGCTGCAGTGCTTCAGCTCCGCAGCCATTAAATAGCACGGCACCACCACCGTCTCTTCAAGGGCCATTGACTTTCACACTGTTTTGCTTTCTCCTTTTTATGTTTAATCACTATGGATTTATGGGGGAAGCATCCTGAGCAGATTCTTCTGCTTCTCTGCAGAACATTGTTTCTGTTACAAGTGCAACACATTTCAATTTTGTTGTAATCTGTGCACGTAAGATACACCTGGTTATTTGTAGCTATTTTTTTATTGCTTCTTTTCTATATTAAAATTCCTCATTTCCAATATTCACTGAATGCTTTCTGTTCTCTGTTTTGGTCAACACCAGTCGGTCAAGCTATTGCTTCTGTTAAGGATTTATTTAAATGAAGACCCCCAGCAGGTGTGTGAAGCCTCAAGACCACAATGGTGGACACCTGAGCTAGACTAGGATTCTGCAGCCCTGGGGTTGCCCAGACACAGTGGCGTAATTTTCCAGATGAGCTGATGATCTGTTCATTGCATCAGCCAGTTGCTAACTTGGAGAAGTTAACATGCTAGACTGTGACTCTCCAGAAGCAGGGTTCTAGTTTGCTACTCTAGACCAGATCTCAAGCCCAGTCCTGGGGCATCACTGCACCTTCTGTTTTCTGATACCGCCAAGTTCTTAATCACAGGTTAATTTCTGTTAGTGTCTGTTTTTTTTTAATTTTCTTTCAGAAGGTAAAAAGCTGAATGACATTAGCAATTGGTGAAAACCCTGTGGAAATTAGCGAGTTTCGGGTTAGCTGAAATCTAACCAAATGGATTTGAACAGATGGAAAAATACTGACTCACTGTGAGTGTCTGATACAGCGTCATTCCGTCCTGTGTCTGTTCGTCATCAATTGATCACGGTAAGAGCTTTAGTCAGAAATATGGAAGCAAATTCTGCATATAGTTGTGCTGAAGTTGTTGCAAATAAAGACTGAATGCAGGAATAAATCAAAGCAAGCAAACAGTGATTAAGTACTAATTGGAATGAAAAACCACAAATACAGCAGACCTTCAGAACCAGAGTTGAGAAGCTCTGGTCTAAACCAGGTTATGATTATGGGGTTCTATTAATTAATTACCTGTAACATGCATTGCAGAATCCCTATTCATTGGTACAGTTTGAGTCATAGACCCCTACAGTGGCCCTACCTCCTTGGCCAGTTTCTGTCCCTGCTCAGTGGCTATGGGCTTCTCCTTCATGTCATTCAGCTTTGCTATGGTCTTGGGGTCATCTCGAAGATCAATCTGAAACATGAACGGGAAACAGTCTGAAACCTATGAGAAAAATTACTGTTTAATGTGCATGGTTAGCAGCCTCAGATTTGAATATCTAAAATTTGAATTCTACTTGCTGTCAAAATACTCTCCAAAATTCACCACTGTGCTTAAATCCCTCTAACATTTACCCTTCTGGATTTTTAAATTTAAAAAAACTTGGCGTCATTCCTGTCTGCTGGCCGACTTGGTTGTGCTTTTTGGTCCTGAAGATGCAGAGGCCTGAAAAAATCACATTTTGAATGTCAATGAAAAAGTGCATGGGCACATACAACCTTTACATTCTATTTGTTGAGATTTTCCTGCAGGGGAAAGGCAGGTATGGAACGTTAAGGGTTAAAAACAACACGGGACTTTGCTGTACAAACAGACACCCTGCTGGCTGCACCCCCTCCCTCTATCTTGAGTGACAGTTCCCCCTACTGCTTGGTTTACAGCTGACTGGGAGGATTTCAACAGCCACTGTCATCCTACCCTCACAACCACCTCTGTTACCAATTAAAATTCCTCCCCTTGATGTTTGACCAATTCAGTCTGGAGCTGCTCAGCAGAGTTTTGGTCTTCGAAACTGTAAGCCATTTTTCTTCTGGGTTTGTCACTTAAATAAATAGCTTTTAAGCCTGCAGTATCAAATGTTTGGGGCGTCTAATGAATCAAAAGGACCAAGGGTGTATTCTGACGTCCAGTCATAATATATTTAGAGTTCCTGCGCTGGCAGTCAGACAGGCTCCGCGGGCTCATGTTGCTTTCTGATTGGGTCTGAAAACTGTGATCAGCATGGCATTTCCAAATGATTGCCATTACATCGGTATTCAGAGTGACAGCAGAGTAATTTTAGATCATTCTCGCAAAACAGCCATGAACATCTAGCAACGCAATGGATCTGTGAGCCCTCTCTGCCTATTTTGGTGGTCTGTGAAATTGTGTTGCTGAGGAACACAGTGACGCCTACACTCAATTTGTGTTAAAAATAGGAAGATTACGGATTTCTATATTTTGAAGCCTGACTTAACTGCTTTAATGACGATGCATATATTGTGCTCATGATAATTACTGCCATTATAGGATTTCTATCTAATTTGTTTTGAGAAATCTGGATAAGAGCCGCTGAGTCTAGGTTGGTTGAAGAGTTAAAATTACTTTAAGACTGCAGCCCTTAAGCTCTGCAACCAAGCAGTACTGTTGAAGGTGCTCTGGGGAAAAAGCAAAGCACTGGGTTATTTTGGAGCTGGGGGTTGGCTCTCCCACCTGAGTGCCGATGAGCAGGAAGGGCACGCTGGGCGCGTACTCCCGCAGTTCGGGCACCCACTCCTCCCGTACATTCTGGAAGGAGGCTGGGTTCACCACCGAGAAGCAGATGAGAAAGACATCAGTCATCGGGTAAGATAAAGGCCTCAGACGGTCGTAGTCTTCCTGGGAAGGTGGAAACAAAGCAACATCAGCACACAGCATCTCCTCCGTAATAACTATCCTAAACTTTTCAATGCAATGTTGTTTGGGGAAATAAAACGATACCTTGCATTTCTGAGTGACTACGTGCTGCTTTACCATCCACATATCTATCGCTTGAAATAATGAGACATAAGTTTGAATTTTCATGGCACTAAATCTCACAGCACTTCTTTGAATTTCCTTCACTCGAATTGTGCTCCAAAAATGAGAAAGTAGACAACAAATTAAAACCTCACTTCCTTAAGTTCATAGTCATTTTGAGCAGAAGAGGGTAGCACAAAGAACAAGAGGGTAGATGTCTTTATGTGAAGTTTAGCAATGCTAAAACACTTTAGATGTGATTTCACTGTGAAATTGTTAATGATTTATATTTATGTTATAAACTCTGCACCTGGGATGACATTAATCAATATTAGCGCACCACCCTGGTGTGCTGCTGATAACGTGCCACAGGACTGCTTGGTCATTACAGTTCTCACAACACAGTCTGGAAGAGTAGGGATGTTAACCCTGAAGTTCTGCCCAAATCCCACTTTGTATCTACCTAAAAAACCATAATTCAAATTAAGTAATTAACTATTTTTCTATCTGAACTCCTGTGCAAGGGGTCTGTTGGCGTATTACCATTGCTGTGTGTCACCAAGATCGGTGCTGCATTTAATTGGTGGATGACAATGCAAGCAATTATAAGTCAAACAATAATTAAGAAAGAAGCAGCTTCTAATAATTATTTTGTGCATTCATACAGTAATATTGTAAAAGGTCCTTTCTCAGACAGTTGTGAACACTGCATCAAGGAGCAAGAACATTGGGTATTGGGTCATATTTCTTACATTTGTACAAGTGGGACCATGGGGGCTCATTTCTCATAGGCAAGGGCAGCTTAGTGCATCTTTGTACCATGTACGTCTGTGAATAAATATAAATGATTACCACATGAAGCTGATATAGAACCCTCTTTTGTCAATGGACAATGTGTTGTATGTTGTCCTTGTTTTTGTATAAAACTGCATAGGCCACAAAACTGGTCTCTGATAATAGTTGTTTGAGTAGGCCAGCTAACATTTTATAAGTACCCTGAACACAGTTCACACAATTGCTCTTCCTATTTTGCTAGCAATTGTACAGTATGTCTGTCAGCCAGATGAAGGTTTATCATTTTGTGACCACTTTTGAATAACTCTGAAAATACACACTGCTATTTTAGTGCTCAGAGCATTTTAAACCATTTATGTTTATTTAATATTGTAAACCACTCCAGGGCATAATGGAAGACAGAGAATGGGCTGTTTTACGGGATGTATTTCCAGTACTCCTGATATGTCTTTGTAAGTTGTGAAGTTTTATTAAAGGAAGAGTTGTAGGTCATACGCAGCTGGATGTCCTTTAATGGCCAACAGTGGAGCTTGGAATCAAAGACAGAAATAAGCTATTTGTACATATATAATACAAACATTCTCTCATCCTAAATGAACCATTTCAGTGTACTGCTAGGCTAGGTTTGTATAAAACGTTTATGTCACCTATGGCGCCAGACATGGATATCCTCTCATGATCTATGGACAGAAGCAAAGATCTCTCACACAGAGCACTCAGATACTGACAGATTCAGAGAACTCCCCAAGGAACAATACAGTTCCCTTTGCACAGCGGAAATGTGGGATTCCTACATGGGTGTCTGGTAGGTAGAGCACCACAAATTAGAGTGAAACATTGGTGATCATGTTGGAAACCTGTAATTATAGATATTTGGAGGACTATAACTATTACTATTTCTGCAACTACTACCACTACTCTTAACAACAATAATAATACTATGTCCTTACTGATGCTTGAGGTTGACTTCAGTCTATATCCATGAAAGGCTTATGAGGCAGTACAGAAGATAGTCTACTGAACAGCCCACCTCTGAATTCAATACACACAGGCTGTAAGCGTTATCTGATTTTATTACTTACCCAAGGAGAGCTCAAGACCTGCACTTTGATTACAATGTAACAGGAAGTCATAATTACTGGCCTCCGGCTGCAAAGCACACTTAAATTAGGTCTTAAATAGCCAAGAAACTATAAGGCATGTCTAAGTCTAGCCCAGTCTCTTTTTCACCTGGAAAACTGACATGATTAAAGGGAGTTTCATTTCTTTCATGTGCAGCCAGCCGAGAGAGTCTCCTCATGCAGAGTATCCCTGACACACATTGCAGCAGCATGTGTCTTTGCTCTGTTCCAGAAGACCTTTATTCTTTATTACTAAGAGACTTGTTCTTCAAATTTCCCTCAGCTGAGGAGGCCTTCTAATTTTACCAACTTACAGTATCTATAAAGAGATCAAATACTACAGCTGGCTCTACTTAAAACAAGAGAACGCCATATATCAGCTGTGTCCTGTAACATTAGTACATGGATATGACTACATCCAGCTAGCAGTAGGGCCTGAATTGAGGGGGCACTGAAGGAAGCTCCTCTCTCCTTTGTAAACGAAGCACAACTAAGAATTCCCCTTGTGACAAAAAGCAGACTGGCTCAGAACTAGCAGTGACTGTATCTATTTTGATGAGGCATCTTTAATAATTTGGTCTCAATTTGCACATTTTAAATAAGATGGGAGGCTGATTCTGCAGCGGCTATGTTCTCCTCTTTTGTATTTAAAAGCCATATCACAAATCAACTACAATTCTACTTCAAGACTTTTATGCTTCCTCCTTTCTCTCAAGAGCCTGACTGCCTTTGGGGCTGGGGGGGCTGGTGGTGTTCCTGTAGATATCTCACATAAGGTTTAGAAGTGGTGCTTTAGAATTGATTAAATTTGTATTGATTTTAATCAATAACAAACTTTAAACCAGCATATAGGATAAAGACAATCTTGTGAATTGCCAGTTTGTAACAGGCCGTGAACAGGGGTGAGGTAGAGTCTCTCCTTCAGTCTCTTCTAGAGAATTATCTACTGCATATGTTCCTTGGTCAATAGGCAAAAGAATCTGCTGCAAACTGTCTCCTGCACACAACAATGTTCATTGATTAATTAATTGACCTCATTGTTAGCTGAAAATGTCACTTCCCAGGTAAAGATTTAAGACTTACAAATCCTGTTGGACTGTAGCCCTCCAGAAGCAGAGTTGTGAAACAATCTAAATTAAAGCTGTTAAATTAAAAAGCCTGTCATAATTGTAAAAAATGAACAACTAAAAATTGTAAAAAATGAACAACTATTGTCTCAGTGTGACATTCTCAAACATGTCACACTGAGACAATATGTTTTACTGAATCTAGCATGAAGTGTTTTGGCTGAGTAAACCAAAAGATTTACAAAATACTCAATACACATTTTCTATGTAATCTGTTTTTCTTCCACACCTTTTACATCAGTGTTGATCGTCTTTTGACACCTTGTGCAGTTGGGCCAGAGATTCACCAGTAGATGTTGAGATAACAAGACTAAGAGCCTTTTTTTCTACACGTTTCAAATGAGCTTCTTCCCTCCTCGCACAGGGGATTAATGTTTAATGAATCAGACATGTTGCTTCTTCAAAATGGGGTCAAGGCCGGCACTGGTCCAGGACCCACATGACCCAGAAGAAAGTCCTACGTATGCTGTGGTTTGGTTAATTCCACAGCATATGGAAATCAAACTAAGGAGCTTGACGTCTGGAATTCTCAACCGGGTTTCAGGATGTCAAATCTAAATCAACAATTTTTCCCTTTCTCTGTTCAATGCCTTGTCTTCTCTAACAAAGCAGCTTGTCTCACCTGTTCCAGCATCACTACACTTGTTTGCTGTGGAATTCAGGCATTGAAGACAGTTTTAGAACTTTCTTGCCCACATTTTAGACTCCAGTATACCAAGTAATCTGCCCCAATTTTACACTTTTCCTCATATCCATTTTACACTTTTACTCATTTCCATAACTAGTTTTCTAACTATTCCCAATTTAGAATGTCAGATTGTGATGACTGTTCTGTCTCTTGATATACACCAAGTCTATGAAATATTATACTGTACCTAAGCAAAAACGTGAGTACTGTAGGCCCATAAAAACAGTCACAAATGGTCCTTATTAACACTTTTAAATTGGATCCAATGACTGTCAGAAAGCCTATTTTCATTTTCTTGTTTCTTCTGAATTTCCTAATTCTCCTGAATATCTATAGCTACAGTATTTATCAGCACATAAATACTGTAGCTATAGATAGGTTACATATTTTTGTTTAATACCATTTTGTATCTCATTCAATGATGTCTTGCTAATTCTTAATTGATTCATGGTGTTTTCGGTGCTGATAATAAAGATTATTATAAATATTAAAAAACATGATGAGCTCAGGTGTGCAAAACAGTCCTGACATTCATTCCACTGACATGGTTTAAGGAGGACACTTTACAAAGCATGCAAAATCTTTGGTAACAATGTTGAAGCTAGCCAACAGAGATGGGAATAACTATGGTGGACTGGGTGAATAATACTGACTCAACGTGCTACAGCCCAATTAAACTCCTATTGCTGCAATGAAGCACATGTCTCCTAGAATATGCATGAATACAGGGGTAAAATCAAAAGAACAGTCACAGCTAGATTAATTCTGTTTAAAACAGATGTGATGGCCCTTTCATTTACCATCAGGAAGCAGTTTCTAATGACACACCTTTGAAGGACAATTTAGGGGAGTTAGAAAAATATGTGCATGTGAATAATGTTGACATCAGAGAGCACCCTATATTCTGCTTGGATGCGACAATGCAAATCCAGAATCACATATGCACTAAGGACAATCTCTAAAAGGCCAAGTAAATGGATTGGAACAAATAGAGTTAAGAGGCTAATGGTGTAACCCAGAGAAAATCTGTAGCAGGCAGAATGACTTTCATTATTAGAGGAATACAGATAACTGTATTAGCTCAATTATTTTAGAACATCTTATGATAAAAGAGACTTCTTAACAACTGGTGGATTTGCATGCAGCCTG